TTTGGTTTAGTTCTTATGACAGTGATTACCATTGCAGAAGAGCAAGAGGAGTAATGATTGGGAAGAGGGGGGAAGGGGACTTCTAGGTGTAGGTAATGTGTTTTTTATCCTGTGTAGTGATTACATGAAGGTGTTTGTTTGTGTTCACTTGTGATAATTTATTGAGATACACACTTTTCTGTATGTATATTATATACTTTAATAAAAAAAAGTTTAAAAAGAAGCCTTTCGACAGACATTTTTCACCTCTCATTGGCACAGGTCAAAATGCTTGATAATACATTGTTGGCAAGGGAGCTTCCTGCTATTGGGAGCCCTGTTTAGAAGGATCCTTCTAGAAGATTAAGCTTTGACCCAGCAATACCACTTCTAGGGATTTATACCATAGATGTTTATGTCCATATACAGAACTATTAATTGTAACATTGTAGTATCAAGAGATTGGAAGCAACCAAACTTCCAACAGTTGTTAAGTAATTTTATATATAATAGAGTGCTTTAGAGTTGTAAAATATGAAGAAATGCTCAGTGTACTGATAAAAAAAAAAATCTCTGAGTAAAAATGTATTTTGCAGTTACAAATAATACACAAAATAAACTAAACTCTTATAAAAAGGGGCAGAGGGAAGAATATATGTACTTGCTTGAGTGTGCATGAAAGAGCTTTGAAAGAACAATATTGCTTTCCCATGGGAAGGAGGACTGGGTGGTTGGGAAACAGGACTTGGGGATTTTCTCTGCATACTCTTTCTGCATTTTGAGCCATATATTACCTAATATTTTAAACATATTTGGAAATCTAATACAAATTTTTCCCCCCTCAGACATGGCAAATATGTATGTCTTACTCCGTGCTGTGTCCACTGGTTTACCTCATATGATACAGGAGCTGCAAAATCATGTCCATGATGAGGGCCTTAGAGCGACCAGTAATCTTACTCAGGAAAATGTGAGTTATATAAGGAACTGGGGGATTTTTCTCTTAATCAGATTATCATGCATTTAGGTTTTTTGTTATCACTTTACTGTCTTTAAACAATGAAAAAAAAGTCTTACCATGCCAATAGATTAAACATCTTTATTAAAATGTTTCAAGCCTAAAATTTATTGGACACACTTTGGAGTAATCAAATTATTAGAAAATAATTGAATGAGATATGTTTTTTCTTAGATATATTAATATGTTCACTTAGCATTTTAAACAATTGTATTTCTATATAACTAGCACTAATAGTTGTAGTGGTAATGAAATTAATCAATAGTAATATGGAGAACTGACAATTAGCTTTCTTTATATATACTATGAGTTTGATAGCCCAGGAAGCAAAGTTAGATTAAAATGATCTTCCCTAAATATATGCTTACTACCCAATGGTTACCACTATGTCCCTAATACCCACTTTTCTTTAAGAGTTCTCTGACAATCAATGACTATTTACAAAAAGGCATCTTTTCTATCACTGTATTCCTATCATCAATCTTGTTGGACCACCTTGTTTTTACTAGTGATGTTTGATGAATAAATAGATATGACATGAGATGTTCTTTATCCCAAGTAGACCTATTTACTTGTCATCTATAATGCAGTAATTGATAATAGACAACATTATTCAGATGATTATCACTTTAGTTGTAGATTTATTTGTCTTTGGCAAATCTTAGGTTTTATGTCCTACCACTGTAATACAAACTATTAGTTGCCCTATCTGGTTTGGCTCAGTGGATAGAGCATCCGCCTGTGGACTGAGGGGGTCCCAGGTTCAATTCTGATCAAGTGCACATCCCCATTAGGGGGCATGCAGGAGGCAGCCAATCAGTGATTCTCTCTCATTATTGATGTTTCTCTCTCTCTCTTTCTCTCTCTCTCTCCCTCCCTTCCTCCCTCCCTCTTCCTCTCTGAAATCAATAAAAATATATTTAAAAAAATAAAAATAAACTATTAGTTGATATATTTTTATGTTTATTAATCTATTATTTATTGGGTTTATTAGTCTACGGCCATACCACCCTGAACGTGCCCGATCTTGTCTGATTGGGTTTATTAATTAATTTTATTAGTTTTACAGATTCAGGGTGTTAAATCATATTCAGCATGGAGGCATAGAGTTTGCTTCAAGGACTGGGAGATAGAAATAAAAGAGAATGAATTTGTAATAGATTCTAATAATTTTAGCTGACTTAGTTAACTCTTAAGTACTATATAATTATCCCCATTAAGAGGGAAAACTTACACTCTAAATGGTTGCTTAGTGGTTAGAGCATTGGCTCAAGGACTGAGGGTTTGTGGGTTTGATTCTAGTCAAGGGTATGTACCCCAGTTGCAGGCTCAGTCACCAGCCCCAAGCAGGGCATGTGCAGAAGGCAATCAATCCATATGTCTCTCTTACATGGATGTTTCTCTGTGTCTTTACCTCTCCCTTCCACTCTCTCTAAAAATCAATGGAAAAAATATCCTCGGGTAAGGATTAACAAAATAAAAAAATAAATAAAATAAAAAAAGAGTGAAAGCTAAGTATTTCCTCACTCTGAGTTGTGGGGGATTGTTCAAATCCAGGGATCTCAATTTTCACAGATACTTGCTTTTGAGCTCTGCTCTCTCTTTCAGACTTCAGCAGCTTTGGAGGCAGTTTTTGTTTATATAATCCTCTTTGAAAGTGATAGGTTTGGTGGTTCAGAGACTGTGTCTTGTTACCCTTAAGAAACAGTATTCCAATATTGGAGAGAAGTGTGTTTTCAGTGAGTTCTTCAGGCAGAGGAATTATAGCACTGCATTGCTGGTGTTGAATGACAGCTAATTTCAACATTAAAGTTTTAGATTTTTAAGACAGTTTCTAAAAATATATATATTTTAATTGATTTCAAAGAGAAAGGGAGAGGCAGGGAGAGAGAATCATTAATGATGAGAGAGAATCATCAGCTGCTTACTACACTCCCCACACTGGGATTGAGCCTGCAGCCCAGGCATATGTCATGACCAGGAATCGAACTGTGATCTTCTGGTTCATAGATCAATACTGAACTACACCGGCCAGGCAAAACAATTTTAACTAAAAATATTTTTTGAGAAAGTGTGTGCTTGCATAACATTAATTTGCTTGGAAAAAACTTAATTAAATGACAATTTTTGATAATCCTAATTATATGTTTGAACTTAAAATCTATTTTGTATTTATAGATGCCAACACTATTTGTGGAGTCAGTTTTGGAAGTACATGGTAAATTTGTTCAACTTATCAACACTGTTTTGAATGGTGACCAGCACTTTATGAGTGCATTGGATAAGGTAACTTTAATAATATCTATATCTACAGATGCTTCTCAAGTTATGACGGGGTTATGTCCTGGTAAACCTGGCATAAGTTAGAAAAATTTTAAATAAAAATTTATTTAATGCACCTAACCTACTGAACATCTTACCTTAGCTGAACCTACCTTAAACATTCTCAGGACACTATCATTAGTTATAGTTGGGCAAGGTCATCTAAATTCATGGGGGAGTATCATTATTTATGGCACACTTAACAGAAAACTGTGGCTCACTGCCACTCCCCAGCATTAGTATAGAATATTGTACCACATATCACCAGCTTTGGAAAAGATCAAAATTCAAAGTACAGCTTATTGAATACGTATCGCTTTCTCACATATTAAAGAAAAAAAAATCATCTTAAGTCAGGGAATAGTCTGTATAAATACAGTTGACCCTGGAACAATTCAGGAAATAGTAGCCCTGATACTCCTCTCCTTTAGTTGAAAATTCAGATATAACTTTTGACTTCCCCAAAACTTCACTACTAATGGCCTACTGATATTACCAGAAGCCTTACTGATAGCATAAACAGTCACTAAGTGCATATTTTATATGTTTAGAATAACTATATTATTACAAAGTAAGTTAGAGAATAAAAAATGTTATTAAGAAAATCTTAGAGAAGAAAAAATACATTTACAGTATTTGTATCAAAAATCCGGGTGTAAGTGGACCTGTGTTGTTTAAAAGTTAATTAGAATTCTGTTTCTTTATTCATTCTTTAGGGTGGTTTCAGGATTGAGGCTTCTAAATTACGAGTTTTCTAATCTTGACATGGAGATTACATAATTTAAATGTGAACATCAAAATAATAACACAACTTTCAAATTAATAACAAATAGTTAAATTGAATGTTAGAATTATATGGAGATAGAATTTCTCATGATTATGAGTACAATGATTCTAAGGGGAATTGTTAGTAAACATTCTAACATGTTCTGGAAAAACATGTATAATTTTAATGTTTTAGTGCTGATTTTTAATTTCAATATAATCTGTAGGCTATATAAGTAATATTTCAAAGAAATAAGTATATTTTACAAATTTTTGAATTTTGGTATATTATACTTTAAAGGAAATTTGCTGATATGGTTATTTTAAGATTTTTTAAAAATTTAGTTTTATTTTATCTGTGTTCAAATATCAGTAATGAGTTATAAAGAACAGCTTTCAGTAGGAATGGAATATATAATTGGTCTATAACTATCATGAGGCATATAGTTAGAGGAGTTTACCCTGTGTTCAAAATGAAAACAAAATTAACAAACTACAACCAAAATATTGTGTTTTGTGTAGGTTAATAATTTATGGATGTGCAGATTATACCCTATTACTAGTTAATTACTGGCTTGTTTTCTATTTAGGCTCTTACATCAGTTGTAAATTACAGAGAACCCAAGTCTGTTTGCAAAGCTCCTGAATTGGTAAGTTTGATGATTGCTTAAAAATAATCTTATGGACATCAATATTAGAAAATGAAAACTGAGGAGAATGTTAAATTAATATGTATTTGTAACATTTTTTCAGAAGAAAAATCCATGAAACTAAATTATTAAAAGTAAAAATTATCTACATCATATATAATTTGGCACTTATTTAAGGAATACAGTTGGGCCTATGTACTATAACCGTTTCTTGAGAAATAACTGAAGGAAAAAATATTTAATATAAAGTTTGTGTGTGTGAGTGTTTTAATATGAAATGCTTCACTGATTTGTGTGCATCTTTATGCAGAGGCCTTGCTAATTTTCTCCGTTGTTCTAATTTTTTTCAAGGCTTCTAAAATCCAAGCAGTACAGTTTGGGTTTTAAAGTATGTCTTCTTTGAAATAATTTGCATCACTTCTCATAGAGATTTTGTTTTGTCAGAAATTTGATGATAATTAAAGAAAATTTAATTATAAAATTGTGGTAAGAATAAAAAAAGTAATTATTTAATGTCGAAAATTATAGAACTACTCAAAACGCATCTAGGTGTTCTTTTGAAACTTCTGTTGTTTATGTTAGTGTTTTATTGTTCACTAAATGTTGATTGTATTTTTGACTTGTTTATAGTTTTCTTAAAAACTTGCCTTATGACATATTTTGAATTCTTTAGTGCATGTTCATAATTTTAAAAACAAAAGCTTTAGGATGGCAGAGACTTTATCCATTGATATTTTGTACTATTGTCCTTTGCCTCTGTTGAAGCATGTATATAGAAGGGCCCTTTATAAGATATACTCTCCATTTCTATTTGAGCTTGCTAAGTACTGTGACAACTTACTAAAGAAATCAGCAAAGGGGATGACTGAGAATGAAGTGGAAGACAAACTCACCAGCTTCATTACTGTTTTCAAATATATTGATGATAAGGATGTTTTTCAAAAGGTAAGTTGTAAATAAAGAAGTTTTATTTGGTTTAATCAGATTTTATTTATTTTTGAAATATAAGTCATCAGAAAGAAAGTAATCTTTAGGAATATTTTTTAATATAGTTCTACGCAAGAATGCTGGCGAAACGTTTAATTCACGGGTTATCTATGTCTATGGATTCTGAAGAAGCCATGATCAATAAATTAAAGGTAATGTGAGCCTTTCATCTGATTATGTCCTAGAAATTATTCTACTAGCACGAAGAGATATTCATTGTAGTATTAGATATAACAACAGGAAATAATCAACAGGTGATTGGTTAAATGTATAATGGTATATCTATATGATGGGATATGCAAATACTGTATTAAAGAAAGCTCTCTCTATATACAGGTGTCCCTTAAAATTTTATACACACTTTGAATATATTAGGTGTACCAGTTAATAATGTGGATTTTTTCAGTAGGTGGAGTTACACATATGTTGATATATATGCTATTTGTTGTATTGACAGCAAGCTTCAAAACTTCATATGTCAAATTTTCTGAAGGTGTTAACATCATAAATATTTTAATGCTAAAAATGTCAAATTTCATGCCAAAATAAGAGCATTTGCGTGAAGTTATAATTCATTGTTTATTTTGAAGAAAAGTGCTGCTGAAAGTTATTGTTATACCTTAGGAAGCTTATGGTGAACATGGTGTATTTCAAGATACTTGTGAACATTGGTTTAATGTGTCAAACACAAGGCCCGCGGGCCAAATCCGTCCCGCCAGGCCTTGCAATGTGGCCTGCACCGCGCTGTCATCACTGCACTCCGCTGCGTTTCCATCACAATGACAGTTTATGACTGTTCAGTAAACCATTCGGCCCGCGATTTAGGCTGGCTTTTAGATTTTGGCCCCTTCTCTGATTGAGTTCGACACCCCTAGTTTAAATGCTTTAAAAGTGATGATTTTGATGTAAAAGACAAAGAATGTCTAGGTCAATTGAAAAAGTTTGAAGACCAACAATTACAAGCATTATTGGATGAAGATTCGCATCAAACTCAAAAAACTTGCAGAAAGATTAAACATTGCTTAGCAAACAATTTCCAGTCATTTACAAGCAATGGGAAAGATTTTAAAGGAAGGAAAATGCGTGCCACATCAACTGAATGAAAGACAAATGGAAAACAAATAGTCATCAGTAAAATGTTGCTTTAATGGCACCAAAGGAAGTCTTTTTTGCCTCGAATTATGACTGGCTATGAAAAGTGGATTTATTTTGAGAATCCCAAATGCACAAAATCCTGGGTTCCAGGTCAACCATCAACATCGACAGCAAGGCCAAATCACTTTGGAAAGAAGACAATGCTCTGTGTTTGGTACAATCAGGAGTGTGTGGTGTTTCATAAGCTTCTAAAACCAGGTGAAACCGTTAACACTCATTGCTACAGATAACAAATAATCAGTTTGAACCACGCATGCTTTGATCATGAAACAACCAGAATGTGCCAGAAGACATGGTAAAGTAATTTTGCGTCATGATAATGCACCACCACACACTTCAAAACCAGTTGAAGACACATTAAAAGATCTTGCCTGGGAAGCATTAACCCACCTGCTGTATTCACTAGACCTTGCTCCTTCAGATTACCACTTGTTCCATTTGATGGCACATGCACTTTATAACAGCACTTCAAAATGTACAAAAAAGTGGAAAATTGGGTCTCTGAATGGTTTGCCTCAAAACAAGAAAAGTTTTATTGGGACGATATCCACAAATTACCTGAATGATGGCGAAATGTGTAGCTAGTGATAGACATTACTTTGAATAAAGCACTTTTGATGTTTCTCTTGAAATTATCATGTTTTCTTTGATTATTATTAACAGGTACACCTAGTAATTATAAAGGCAATGTTTATTAAAATATATTTTATTTTCATTTAACAGCTATCAGGTATTAAAAGTATATACATTTTTTGGGACATTCTGTATATTGATATAGACTTATCCACAAAATAAACAGTATTAACAAAAGATTTACATTATTTATAAATAAATGCACCTGAAATATTCCTTTAAGTACGTTTTGTAGTGCTGTTGAATTTTAGTTTATTTTTGCTTCATTTTAGGTTACACATTGGTGAAATAAGTAGTAGCTGAGACATATTTATGCTGAAATATCCAGTAGTTGATAATTTTTCTGAAGAGTAGACTTGAATATAATATGAATACCCTTGACCATAGAACTAGCAATAGTAACATGTTCTAATTAATTAATATGTTTTATTATTATTCTTTTTAAATCATGTGTTTGTTTTAAACTCTTTTTACAGCAAGCATGTGGTTATGAGTTTACCAGCAAGCTGCATCGGATGTATACAGATATGAGTGTCAGTGCTGATCTCAACAATAAGTTCAACAATTTTATCAAAAATCAAGACACAGTAATAGATTTGGGAATTAGTTTTCAAATATATGTTCTACAGGTATGACTATATGTTTTATTCTAGGCATTTACTACTCATTTCAAATAGTCTGATCCAAACAATTAATAAATAGGGACCTCATTGCATTTTCTTCAATAAATGGATTGTAGCTTCTAACGTTATATGTTATATTGATTTGGAATGAAATGTACCAAGATAGTAATCTAATGAGTTTTATCAACATTTGAGAAAAGAAAAAAAGAGGTGCTTTAGTTTAAATCATTTTTTTAAATAAATATTTATTTTCAAGTTAGATGCTTGTCTATTTAAATTTTTTATTTTACTTATTTTCTTCTAGGCTGGCGCATGGCCTCTTACTCAGGCTCCTTCATCTACATTTGCGATTCCCCAGGAATTGGAAAAAAGTGTACAGATGGTAAGTTTGCAGGATATATATTAGAAGACCTAAGGAATTTTAATAATTATCTTCATGTTAAATCACTTTAAAAATTTTCCAAAGTCTTAATTGCTTGTGATATAAAATATATATTCAGAAATCAGTTATATACGTTGTAGGAAATGTAAATTATTAGTTTTTAATATTAAAACTCATAAACAAAGGTTGTCATAGAGTTCTTTGTGAAAACATGACTCTTACAGTTAAACCTATTATCAGCTCTTAAGCAGTTTTAAATTACAAAAACTCTTGATATTAGAAGAAAGGTTAGAACTTAATATTTAAGTCACTTTCTAATTTTTTATTTGAATTTAGAGCCATTTTTATACTTCATTTATCCCTTGAAGTTTTTTATTTCTGGGCAATTTTTTTTTTTTTAAACTAAATTTATTGGGGTGACATTGGTCAACATGAACATACAGGTTTCAGGTGTGAGTTTCTATGTTACAAGATCTGTATATTGCACCAGGTGCCCACCATCCACAGTCAGATCTTTTGTCACCGTATATTAGGACCCTTTTCTATTCACAATATCTTCCCTCTGGTAACCACCACACTGCTGTTTGTGTTCATGAGTTTCAATTTTCTATCCTACATATGAATAAAATCATATGGTTCGTAGCCTTTTGTGACTGACTTATTTCCCTTAGCATAATGTTCTCAAGGTCCATCCACATTATTGCAAATGGTGCTATTTCATCCTTTCTTATGGCTTTATTAGAATTTCATTGTATGCTAGGTATATCACTTAATAATACAGATTTTGTATTCAAAGTAAGCACAATAATTTCAAGAGAAACATCAAAAGTGCTTTATTCAAAGTAAAGTCCATCGCTAGCTACACATTTTCCCCACCTTTCAAGTAATTTGTGGATAACCAATCCAAATAGAACTTTTCTGTTGAGGCAAACCATTCAGAGACCAAATTTTCCACTTTTTTGTACATTTTGAAGTGCTGCTAAGAAAGTGCATGTGCCGTCAAATGGAACAAGTGGTAATCTGAAGGAGCAAGGTCTGGTGAATACAGTGGGTGGGTTAATGCTTCCCAGGCAAGATCTTTTAATGTGTCTTCAACTGGTTTTAAAGTGTATGATGGTGTGTCATCATGAAGCAAAATTACTTTGCCATGTCTTCTGGCACATTCTGGTTGTTTCATGATCAAAGCGTGCGTGGTTCAAATTGATTGTTTGTTATCTGTAGCAATGAGTGTTAATGGTTTCACCTGGTTTTAGAAGCTTATGAAACACCACACACTCCTGATTGTCCAAACGCAGAGCATTGTCTTCTTTCCAAAGTGATTTGGCCTTGCTGTCGATGTTGATGGTTGACCTGGGACAATCCAGGATTTTGTGCATTTGGGATTCTCAAAATAAATCCACTTTTCATAGCCAGTCATAATTCGAGGCAAAAAAGACTTCCTTTGGTGCCATTAAAGCAACATTTTACTGATGACTATTTGTTTTCCATTTGTCTTTCATTCAGTTGATGTGGCACGCATTTTCCTTCCTTTAAAATCTTTCCCATTGCTTGTAAATGACTGGAAATTGTTTGCTAAGCAATGTTTAAT